GACTTCTGGAAGGTGTAGGACCCAAAAAAGACTGTTAAAGCAATACACAAGTCTAAAGTGTATTCTTTAGAAGGCAATATCTGCTTAGACTCAAGAAACAGCAGGTAGGCACCCCGATGTTTCTAGCAGCAATGTCCACAATAGCCAAACTGTGGAGGGAGCCTAGGTGTCCATCGTAAGATGAATGGATAAAGAAGATGTGGTCTATGTATACAATGGAATATCACTCAGCCATTAGAAACGACAAATACCCACCATTTGCTTCGATGTGGATGGAATTGGAGGGTATTATGCTGAGTGAAATAAGTCAATTGGAGAAGGACAAACATTATATGGTCTCATTCATTTGGGGAATAAAAAATAGTGAAAGGGAATAAAGGGGAAAGGAGAAAAAATGAGTGGGAAATATTAGAAAGGGAGACAGAACATGAGAGACTCCTAACTCTGGGAAAAGACAAAGGGGTGGTGGAAAGGGAGGTGGGCGGGGGTGGGGGTGGGGGTGGGGGGGCTGGGTGACAGGCACTGAGGGGGGCACTTGATGGGATGAGCACTGGGTGTTATGCTGTATGTTTGCAAACTGAACTCCAATAAAAAAATTAAAAATTAAAATAAAATAAAATAAAAATAAGCCCTTTGCATTAAAAAAAAGGAAATAAAGAAAGAGCAGGTAGAAGGTACTCTTTAAAGCTTAGAACTCTGGGACATAGAGGAGTTGTACAATAATATTTCAAGACTATCATAAAAACCTGAGAGTGATTTTTTGAACACAAAACTGGAAAAGCTACCTTGATCTGTCTCCAACTTCACATGTGCCTCCTTCTGACAGTCAAAACACCCATCGTATTGACACACTGAAGGAATAAAAGGGTAACTACTGAACTCCATATAGTTATATTAAAATTGCAAAAGGATAAAATAATGATCAAAAATCATCAAAATCAGAGCATGGAATAAGGTTATAAGAAATCAAATGAGGGGATCCCTGGGTGGCTCAGCAGTTTAGCGTCTGCCTTTGGCCCAGGGTATGATCCTGGAGACCTGGAATCGAGTCCCACGTAGGGCTCCTTGCATGGAGCCTGCTTCTTCTCCAGCCTGGGTCTCTGCCTCTCTCTCTCTCTCTATCATGAATGAGTAAATAAAGTATTTAATAAGAAAAGAAATCAAATGAACTATATAAAATACATCTTAAAATAATATAAAACAAAAATTTAAAAAAATGACTAACAAGAAAATCAAATGTGTCAGAAATGAGATGGCAAGACATCAGAAAGATGTGATATATGTGAAATATGATACAAGGAATTCAAAATAATAGACCAGAAAGTGGAAATAAAACAAAAATTCAGTAATAAAGAGTAATTTAATACAAGAATTGGCACTAATAGCATAATAAGTAATAAGACTTTACAGTATTTATTAGAAAAGTTACAACAAAATATTTTGTTTCTTTTAAAATTTTATTGAAGAAAATGTACACGGAGAAAAGTACACACATCTTAAGTATACAGCTTGATGGATTTTTTGAGGGGGGAGAGAAAGAGGGAGAGAGAACCTTAACCAGACCCCATGTCCAGCACGGAGCCAATGCTGGGCTCAAACTCAGGACACTGAGATCATGACCTGAGACGAAATCAAGAGTTGAACACCAGGCCAACCGAGCCTCCCAGGAGTCCCAGCTTGATGAGTTTTTAAGTTGAACATACCCATGTAAACAAGCACAGGAAGTAGAACATGGCCTGAACCCAAGGAGCCTCCCGTGTTCTATTTTTCAGTCACTATCTCCCCTGCAAAGATAACCATAGTATGAAGCAAAGACTAAATTATGTAATTATTAGTTTTTTTAAAAAGTCAGTTATTACATTTTAATATAAGTACAGAAAATCTACCAACTATATGTGTCAGCTACATGAATTTTAATAGTCACACACAACAATGTAACAACAATCATGTATGGGTGCTAGAAATATTCTGTATTGTATAATTGTGGAAATCCCTTCTTAATTTCTGCAAAAATGCTTTTTTAGTTTGAACTAGGGATGCATTGAATATATAGATCATTTGCAATTGCTATCTATTTAATTAATCTTTTATTTACTACTAGGGTAACTATCGTAACAGCTTTCTTTCTTTCTTTCTTTCTTTCTTTCTTTCTTTCTTTCTTTCTTTCTTTCTTTCTTTCTTCTTCTTATTCAAATTCCATAACCAACATTCCCTATCTATTAATTTAGGCTCCCTAGGTACTGAGCTTAGGCATCTATGTATTTTAAACAAATTTTTGAATAATTTATTTAAGTACATAGCCAGGAACAAACTTACAGAGGAGTGTTTAAGTTTCCCACAACAATAAGACCCTGACCAACACAGAAAGTTCGACCTCTATCTCAGCCAGATCTCAATATCCTGTTTTATTATATAGAATATTGAAGCTATATGTATATGTCCCATCTATGCTTTCAATACTTCCCATTTATGTATCCATATCCTTTTTTCCTAGTAAACTCTCAGTGAGCTTAAATATCTCTCTCATGACACTTAGAAGTATAGCACTTTAAAAGTTAAATAAATATGGTAATCTTTATTAAATGATTATGAAGTCTATCATACCTTATTTTGAGACAAATAAACAGGTTATAATTTCAGAAAGAAAGAAGTGGATTTTAGAAAATTGAAGTCATAAACCCAATGACACATAACTATTTAGTATCAGAGCCAAGATTATGTCCTGTAGCATTAGATTTCTTTTCCAGCTCTATGCTTATTCTTTCTGCACTGAGGATTCTTTTCTACCAGAGCCCAAAGTGCATTCATGTAATCATTCTATCATTTAGTTCATTGTTCCAGAACCATTCATTTACTACAAAAAAAAATTGAAATTATCCAACATTTATGTCCCAGAAGATAATTAGTGTATTTTCTCCTTGGAGCATCCCTGTGGACTTCAAGAAGAAGCTTTAGAACATGGTATAAAAGTCTAAATGCTTGTGTTCATAGAATACCCTAAATGAGTGAGCAGTTCATTTCCACAGGTAAGAGAAAAGGGTTTCTTATGAATTACAACATATTTCAGAAGCCATAACCTTGAATCTCCAACTAGATTCTATGTTTTGATATTTAAATCTGAGACAGAAATTTCTAGTTAACTTAGAGCTGAATTAATATTTAATGAAGGAATTCTGGGGAACATAGTAGAACAATAAGAAAGACTACTTACATATTTAGATCAATAGTTATGTTAAGTTAGACATTTGATTTCATTTTTTTGGTGGAAGATAATAGTTGGAATAAAGGTAGTAGAAATAACGGACTATATTATGAATTTAGGAAAATTATTAAAAAGAGGAAATTAGCTGCCAACCAACCATTGGGTACATGCCATTTGGGATCATAATTTTTTTAATGAAAGGATATAAATGAATTTTAAATTTGTTTTACTAGTTAGCTACTTCATGTAGAAGCCAGCTCTGTTTTGTTTCCTTTTTTTTTTTTTGTTTTTAAATCATGCTCTGCTCAAACTTGATGGTTTGCATAAGAATTCAAACACATGAAGATGCTATTTTGTATTGTTTCTAGGAAATAACATCTCCCGAATTATGACATATCACAACGAACTTGCAACATGGTTAGATAAATGGACAAAGTTTAAAGTATGAGACAGAGAAGCTTGTCTTGAATCCTGGCTTTGCTGCAAACTGTATGACCTTCGGGAGGGTATAGGTCAGCTGTTTCTCAAGTTTTCTCATCTGTAAAAAGATACTAAATTATTTAGTTTGCAGGTCACGATACATATTAAATAAGATAATGTACACAAAACTTCTAACTCTTTGTAGCCACTTAATATCATGTGCTTGCTGCTATCATAGCTTTCCTTTTCAAGCTTAGCATTTATAACACTGTTCTTAGTGGATGTACCGTACTTTATGTTTTGGAACTGTATTACAGTTGAAGAATTGACAATTTTAGTCTTCCAGATTGGTCTATTTTGTTAAAATTGATGGTCCATATTTTTGTCTATCTAGTCCTTATTTCTTAAAGTGAAATTAGCTAGATATAAACAATTATTTTTCATTTCCTTAAATATTAGTTGGTGGAAGCCTGTTTGAAGAGTATGTTGGAAGAAGTAAACTCCATGGGTTTTTTCTTCCATCCCTCAAGTTCCCTAGAGTGAAGTAGGTAATTGCTCTACTGAGACATTATTTGGATTAAAGTATGCCTTCATCCACAAGCCACCTTCTTGCACTACAAATAAAATCAGAGAAATTATAAGAAAAATTTTATGGACAAAATCATTAGAGGAAATGTAAGTAAACATACTGCTATTTTACTGACATGCTCAAAGAACAATGTAATGACAGGTATGCATTTTTTAAGATGCCTGATACCATAAAATATTGGGATGGTCAGAAAGGTCCACCCCATGTAACACACTGAAATTAAATCTAACATCCCTTATTGTACTCCTTTGGGAATATTTTAAGATTAAATAATTTTTACATTGTTTTTCTCATTTAAATGTATCCCAATTTTTTGATATGCTTATGGTTGCTCCCATTTTAAAAAATTGCATGCACATACATAAAAAGGAATTTAACACACATTCTACAAACTAGGACTAGTACTCAGGTATGTAATTTTTATTATACTACTTTCAGATTTTTTAATTCCTATATTCATTCATCTTTGAGGATTTTAACATGATGAAATATGAAACCAGGTGGGAGAAGGAGAAAATTTAGCAATAACTAACTGGAAATTAACTCAATTATCTCAGTCATTGGCATAAATTTTTAACATGACAAATTTAGCCAACAACATAATAAAATAATTTCTTTAATTTATGCAGGGCAGTGCATCCACTTGAACCTAACTTCCAGGACCATCACCACCTATTCCTTCACTCCCAAGGATCTCAACATACTTTCTTAAGAAACAAACACAAGGATACATAGGGTATATTCTCTTTTCAAAAATACTACCTTTAAATCCTATAAATAAACTCTAAAATGCCAGGGTTTCCATCAGATTTAAATTTATATAGGACTCAGATGAAAAATGTGACTGAGGCAACCATGTTTATTTTGATGGGCTTCACAGATGATTTTGAGATGCAGGTCTTCCTATTTTTACTATTTCTAGCAATCTATCTTTTTACTCTGATAGGAAACTTGGGACTGGTTATATTGGTCATGGGGGAATCTCGGCTCCACAACCCCATGTATTATTTTTGAGCGTTTTATCATTCCTGGATGCCTGCTATTCTTCAGTTGTCACCCCAAAAATGTTGGTCAATTTCCTAGCAGAGGATAAACCCATTTCCTATCTCGGATGTGCAGCACAGATGCTTCTCTTCGTTACTTTTGGAACCACAGAATGCTTTCTCTTGGCTGCCATGGCTTATGACCGCTATGTAGCAATCTACAACCCTCTCCTGTATTCCGTGAGCATGTCACCCAGGGTCTATGTGCCACTCATCGTTGCTTCCTATGTTGGTGGCATTTTGCATGCTTCTGTACACACAGTGGCCACGTTCAGCCTATCCTTCTGTGCATCCAATGAAATTAGACATGTCTTTTGTGACATCCCTCCACTACTTGCCATTTCGTGTTCTGACACCCACACAAACCAGCTGCTGCTCTTCTACTTCGTGGGCTCTATTGAGATAGTCACTATCCTCATTGTTCTGATCTCTTATGGTTTCATTCTCTTGGCCATTCTGAACATCCATTCTGCCGAGGGGAGGTGGAAAGTCTTTTCTACATGTGGTTCTCACCTAACTGGAGTGTCAATTTATCATGGAACCATCCTTTTCATGTATGTCAGACCAAGTTCCAGCTATGCCCTGGACCATGATATGATAGTGTCAATATTTTACACGATTGTGATTCCCATGCTGAATCCCATCATCTACAGTTTAAGGAACAAAGATGTAAAAGCGGCAATGAAGAAATTGTTTGGTAAAAATTGGTGTATCAATAAAGTACACTTTTCACATTGACCACTAAATTAAGAAAAAATAAGAATAGTATTATCGTCTTAATATTAAAATGATAAAAATATTTTGTTTTATTTGTATATTTTCATTCTTGTTAGGTACTTTTATATAAAGATGATAGGCCTCCACCTTTGCAGTTTTTATACATGCAGAAAAACTGTCAGTTTGCTCCCTAATACATTCTGAAATACATAAAAGCACATACACACACACACACATATATATAATACACACACACACACACACACACACCTCTGCTGATAGTGATGGTCTTAGTTTGCTAAGAATGCCATAACAAAGTGCCACAGACTTCTGGCACAACAGAAATTTATTTGTTACAGAATCTATAAGTCTGAAGGCAAAGGCAGGATGAGTTTGTTCTAAGGCCTCCCTCCTTCACTTGCAGATGGCAGTTTTCTTGTTTTTGTTTTTTTGTTTAATAGCAGTCTTTTCTTTCTGTTTCCACATGGTCATTCCTCTCTGTGCTTCTGTGCTATGATCTCTTTTTATGACATCAGTCATATTAGATTAGGGTCCTCTTCGAAGGTCCTATTGCCAAATAAAGTCATATTCTGAGTATGGGGATATGGATATTGGTATATATATATATATATATATGTGTGTGTGTGTACATGTGCACACTTGTATAGATTTATTTCATATAAATATATTTACACATACACATATATTTATTATATGTAAGTATGTCTATACATGCAGAGTCACATATGCATATGATCTTTACTTTAAAATGTGTAGTATTACCTTTCATCCTCATATGAGTCAAACTCAGTCTCCTATAGTTACAATTCTTAAAACATTTCTAATTACATCTGACTAATTTGTGTAAATACCACCCAATTGATAGCAAAATCACAGCTCAGATAATCCCAAGCCACTTCCCTAGGGTCACTGGCATCTGACTCCTGATAAAAGCACTCTACTCCATCCTTAAATCTTTGCATTGGCAGCAGGGACCATAGATAGTATATTTAAATTTCCGGTGTCACTACCAGACTGCGTGTAAGAGTGCATCTCTCCCCCTTTTCTTATTTCAAAGTGTGGAAATTAAGTCCATGTTTTTTTCCTCACAGAATACAGAAGGTAGGCATTAGCACAGATCAAGGTCATAGTTAAACTCAAGAATGACAAAACACAGGCACAATGCAGGGAATAAGATACAGCTGGCTGTTATGCTCAGCCCCAGTCCATCTTTATGAGGTTTCCTGTTAACGTGGTACACTTAGCTTTGGCCCTGCTTTATTTTGACCACCACCACCCTGTGACACCCTTACAGATGCCACCACTCCTCAGTGCCCAGACCCAAGAACCGAGGTACAGAAAAGCATCCTGACTATTCTCATGTTTAGCACTGCTTCCAATACACCTCATTTCCATTGCAAGGACATGTGTCCTTCAAAGTTAATTAATTTTTAATTAATTGTTAAGTAGTTGTGGTTTTCCATCCCTGCCTCCTTCATTTTCTTATCATTATTATTATTTATTTTTAAGTGTTAAATCCCTTTGGTTCCAATAGGATGATCTCCTTAGAAGTAGAGTACAACTTAAGGATATTTCCCTAAAGTGGGATTGTTTAGTTTAAATAACACCTAATTATACAAATATAAATAATCTCTTACAACAACATATATTACACACACACACACACACATCATATTTCTGCATATTTTTTCTTCTGTTTGGAAGGCTTTCCTGGCTGCCATTCACATGACTCCTTTTTAAAAATGTTTTTTCTTAGTGAGAATTTCATTGACTACATTATAATAAGTACAATTTACTTCCATTGGCTAGCCTCATTTTCTTTGTATATGATTTATTGCCTGATCAATTTTCCAGATACATATGTTCGGAATATTGTCTGATACATATTGTTGCTGAATAAATATTCCTTAAATGAATACATATTTTACATAAGAAACTGTCAAAAACATTTTTCAACTCAATGAAGGGATGCTTGTGAAACAAGATAGAATCTTCCATTTAAATATTAGTTACTGTTTTAGATTTTCTAGTTTATTTTTTCCTTTAACATAGGTTTTTAAAATTTAAAAAGGGAATTACCCTACGACCCAGAAATTGCACTACTAGATATTCACCCAAAGTTTACAAAAATAGAGAATCAAAGAACATCTATAGCAACATTATCCATACTAGCCAAACTACAGAAATAGCCCATATGTCCATCAGCAGGTGAATGGATAAATAAGATGTGAAATATTACTCAGTCATCAAAATAGAATGAAATCTTGCATTTGCAACAACATGAATGGAGCTAGAGGGGATTATGCTAAATGAAATAAGTCAGTCAGAGAAAGACAAATACCATATGATTTCATTCATACGTGGAATTTAAGAAACAAAACAGATGAACATAGGAGAAGGAAAAAGAAGAGAGAGAGAGAGATTGAGAGAGAAAGAGAGAGAGAGAAAGAGGGAGAGAAGTAAACCATAAGAGACTCTTAAATATAGAGAACAAACTGAGGGGTGATGGAGGCAGGCAGGTGGGGGATAGGCTAGATAGGGGATGGGTATTAAGGAGGGCATTTATTGTGATGAGCACTGGGTGTTATATGTAAGTGATGAATCACTAAATTCTACTCTTGAAACTAATTTTACTACATATTAACTAACTAGAATTTCAATAAAAACTTGAAAAGAAAAAAATAAATACAATATTTCTTCTTCCTAATGATCTACTCTTTTTTAGCTTTCTCATTTGGGTACAATTTTCCAATGAATAGTGTGTCTGTGGAATCACACATACTTTAGTCATAATTTTATTATCAATATTTCTGATTTTTCCCATTTCTTTTTGACTTAGGAATATCTTAGTAACATTAAAAGTGCTTAAGTGGAATAGTTTGAGAGTCTTTAAAATGTGTTATTCATTTCCAAATAAAATTGAATTTCTTAAAATGCTCTTTATTCAGATTTTAATTTTCACTAATATATGGATGTTTTCAGAAATGCTGCCCCTATACTTATAAAAAGAGAGAATTGTCAAAGTCAAAGCTTTATACATACTTACCTACAAAAGCAATCTTATTGAATGTTTAAGCCTTTATGTCCTAATTAATGTTTTTTTTTCAGTGAAAATATTTAATAGAAGTGTACTTAGTTTCCTAAAGTTATCAGGCTTCTTTTCATTTCTCTCTTTGCATCTCCTGTACAAGAAGTTTCCAGTCTGGGATGTGTGGCTTCATTTCTGTTTGCATAGGTAACATTCACTCTGGAGTTTCAGAGCCCAAGTGGAGGCATCCAACTTCAGAGACCATGGGATGTGGTTACCCCCAGAATGGCAGGCTCAAAGCAGCAATCAGAACAGCCTTACTCATTTACAAAAATGGCCCTGGCAAATTGATCATTGTATTTCTAGAAGTGAAATAGATGATAAATACTAAATTCTGAATTTATTTGTATAAGCATACAACTTCTGGGTTAAGTGAACAAAAGTCTAACTTGAATCATAAAAACAGAGTCACTTGTCCCTCAGTCAACTGGTGAACTCTGGGAGCTTATAGTCCTAGAACCTCTTGAGTGATGGGAGGCCAGATAGCCTTGAGGGAGGACCCCATTATACTACCTGGAATTTGAACTATTAACCTTTCTCCAAGCCTTCTCCAGAGGGACTCTGGACCTTTACCAGGGTAACTGTGCATTGGTGAAAAGGAAACAACCAGACCCTTGAGAACAACTGGGCACTAGTTCTGGACTGATAATGATTCCAGAAGACCCAAAACATTGCTGTGTGTTTGTGTGCTTGTGGCCCTACAGTCAGGGGTTTGTGGAGGTCAGTTGGTCAGTGGAGTTGGACTTCTGGCCCATCTCACAGTGAATCCTGTGTGTTCCTGGAATATCCTGTGGTTATTTCTCCAGTTCCAGAATGTCTAATTGGGATAGAATTCAGCCCCTTGGAGAATCACCACATAGGTTCCCTGACCTGTAGAGTAAGGGTTATCATGATGGAAAAAAACAACTGGGAGCAACTATAACTTCCCCTACCAAAAAAAAAAAAAAAACAAAAAAAAAACAGTACACTATAATCAATATTGCATTTTGAAGGGAAATGAGAGATTAGTTCCACCATTAGTTCCACTTGAAGAATGCAAGAGGGGTGGTTCTATTATATATCCCCATTCACATCTCCTTTTTGGCCTGGGCAGAAAACTGATAGGTTTTTGAGAATGACAGAGAATTATCATAAGCTTAACTAAGTAATTATTCCCATCGTTGCTCTTGGACAAGATGTGGTTTCATTGCCTGAGCAAATTAACACATACATGGTACCTGGTGTGCAGCTATTGATCTGGAAAGTGCTTTTTTCTTCATCCAGTTTCATAAAGTTTACCAAAAACAGTTTTCTCTGAGCTAGTAAAGCCAACAAACTTCATTGTTCTAGCTTGGCTCTACAGCTTATGTCATAATTTGATTCACGGGTATTTGATTGCCCTTTCCTTCCATAAGATATCACCTAGATCCAGTACATTTATGACATTATACTTATTGGACTTAATGAGTGAAAAGTAGCAACTACTCTAGACATATGTGTAAGATATTTACATGACATGAGTAGGGAAATTAACAAAAATTTGAGGACTTTCTGCTTTAGTGAAATTTCTCAAAGTACAGTGGTATGAGGCATGTCAAATATCCTTTCTAAGGTCAAGGAAAGTTTATTGCATCTAGTCACTTTTATAACAAAAAAGTCACAGTAGTGGACTTCTTCCTTGAAGGCAGTATATTCCTCATTTTGTTGTGTTACCCCAGCCATATACTTCTGACCTAAAAAAAGTTGATGGTTTTTGAGGAGGTTCATGATAGAAGAGGGCTCTGCAACAGGTTCACAATGCTGTGGAACCTTCTTTTCCACTTGGGCCATATGATCTAGTAGGTCTGTTGGTACTTGGAGTGACAGTGGTACAGAAGGATGCTGTTTGGAGCTATTGGTTGGCCCCTGTTGAGGAATCACCATATAGAACTTT